TTATAGATTTTCTTAACAACATCATGTACGCAGGAATATGCAAACAGGGCATATTGTATTTAATGCTGTCGAATTTGAAATCTATAAAATTATGGCAGCCAAAATCGAATGCATATAAATATAGCAAAACGAATAAGTCAGTACAAGCGAAAATTGAATATTCTCTTTTCTTTTTCGCGAAAATTGAGCATGGACATGTAAAACAAGTGTTCTCTCATAAATGTAAAAAAAAAGAATTGTTGCTACATGTTTTATTTTTTTTTTTATTTGTGTTGCTACATGTTTTATTTTTTTTTTTATTTGTGTTGCTACATGAATTAATTAACTCATTCAACTATGTACACGATCCACATAAAATCTACATTTTTATTATTTTGATATTAATATATTTTTGTAGCTGCTTTTCATGTAAATTTTTATTTGATTTATTGTAAACGGGTTGACAATTTCGTGAAGAGAAATATTTTTATACTCGCATCGAGCGAGATTAAAATGAGAACACTTGTAAGACTTTAGTATCTAATATAATGTAACAAAGAACACATCACATTGCATTCAGTGATACATTTTATATGGCGTCATATTTACTGTCACTTTATCATATTTAATATATCTGTACGGTCGTGAAACCGGTGATTCAGACCCAATATCTCGCATACAGTTTATTGTTAGCGATTAAATTAATAGTTATGGCATTATCATGAAATTTGTAATAATTACTGATTTATATATGTATATTTTATATTAATTTTTTTCATATTAATACGAAAATTTATTATCGTCATCTTTGCTGTCATTATTGTCGTCATCGTTCTCATTGTATTTTATAAGTGTAAGAGAGGCAAATTTTCGCTACGACAAATGTAATAATATTAACAAGTGATTCTCTTACTACATCAGGGAGAACTAGCAAAGATCAAGAAAATTGTATAATAATAATATTACATAGAAAAATACGATGTATATATAATATTAGTTTGCGTAGAAAAAAAAGTATATACATATATGTATAATATATATATGTATTATGTGTATGTATACATATATATGTATTGTGTGTATATATACATGTATATATACACATCATATAAATTGAGTACATATTGAAAATAGCCGTCACGTCTCCCCACACAGCATAGAATACGATAAATTAGATGTAATCATTTTTAAATAGTAACTATGTATTCAGAGACGAAGTTATTGAGCGTAAAAAAAAAAGATTCTTTGTACATACATAGTGCATAGCGACAAATGTAAAAAAAAAGATTATCTCCGAGAACATTTTATTTAGAAGCTTAAATCATGTTTTAAAAAAATAATAAAAAGAATGACAAGTTCACACTTCAGAAGAAAAGTATCGTAAAGCCTAATTTTCTTTTTTGTGAGACTTTTTCGAGACCGTTTCGATACTCCTTGATATCAAGGTTGGTCTTTACATTAAAACAGACGGATACAGCCAAAAAGTACCGCTTAGATATAATAAGAGAGATATTGAAATGTAAACCAAACGCTTATAATCTACAACTGTGTATGAAAGGGAAACAAAAAATTTTATCTTAAAAAGAATAATTGTAATATTATTTGTGATACAAAGAAGCAAAGGAAGAAAAGAAGAAGATAAATTCTGAAGTGAAACGAACGATATACATATACACACACACACATACACACACACATATATATATATACACATACATACACACACACATATGTATATGTCTGTTCGTTTTTTTTGTCGTCGCGCACACGGCTTTGCGTACATGAAGTATTTGCGGCGTGCGTCCTTGTGTACAATAGAATTTTTGTAGTATGTCCGTAATATAGCGTTGTGTACATTGTCACTTAGGCTCGCCTTGTGGATAAGTAAAAGATCTAAGGGCAGTTACTGCATCACCGAGATATTATAGAAAGATCTTCTAGGAACTTCTTGATGCAATTCTCGTTTCGTACGCAGAGCCGTGCCCGCCGTAGCGTTGAAGCATGCGTCTTTGTCGCGTTTATTATTATTATTATTTTGACGATTTGTATAAATGAGACGAACTTGCGACTTGTAAATTGCACGAGTGAGAAGCGTAGGCGAGGTGTCGAGACGAAACTGCGTCAAACACAGTGAAACCTGAATATCACGATGCCTAAGTAATTTGTATAAAAAAGAAAGAAAAAAGGAAAGACGAATCTGTAAAGTAAAACAAGAAAACTCATGTATGTGGCCGTGAGAAAAATAAAACGTGACAGCAACAGTCGCTGTATGGATTGGCAGCAGGAACGGGAAGTATCATCGTTATCGTTAGGGCGAGAACGAGATTAGGTATCTCTTATTCCTGATCTTCGTAACGTATACTTTAAGTCTAATTCGTTTTAGCGTTTACTTTTTTTTCTTTTTTCTCCTTAGCTTCTTTCGCTCCACTGTATCTCTCTTTCTCCGTTTTTCTTTCTAGCTTTCGTCTGTTTATTCTTTTTCTTTCTTGAGTCTTCGGATAGATGTAATTCTTTTTTTTGTGACCTGGTTTAATGTGTAATAATTATTAAGAAAGATATTGGTTAAACTCTATTTAATAATACAGAATGGTGAAGAAATTGGCGAATTGTATTTGAAGATCAATACAATAATACGATTAAGAGAGAAAAAATATACATCTTTGTGTAATATAAATATAATAAATAATAAAACACGATATGTGCGCGCGCGTGCGCGCGTGTGTGTATATCAGCTATTGTAGATGAAGCTCTCCTAATCATAATCCCGACCGTTGCTGTATCATTCGTAATAAAACGAAAAAATTTTTTATGGCAATAAGAGTAAATTCGCATGAAAGAACATTATTCATTAATGTAAATTGTTTTATTGTAAATCAACAGAATACATATGATTCTTATAGGCGCGCGTAGTTTGTGCAATTCAAAAAATTCGCTGTATATTAACGTTCTTTCGTCAATGCTTTCTGGTTCTGATTCAAGTGTTTCTTACGTTTCCAGGGTATCGATCGTGTAACTTTTTCCCTAAGGCAGAAAGTGAAAATTTTGTATGTGTATATACACACATACATAAAAATTTTCACATTTCCGCTTTAAAGAAAAAGTTACGTGATCGATAATCTGATTATGAATGAGACTTTGAAAGAGTCACTGGCATACATCGGGCTTCGATAAATTTCGAATTCAGAGCCGTGGAACGTTTCTGGATAGTACATCCGCGTATCTCGTGATTGCAAAAAAGTTAAAAGTTATCGCGATTATTTCGTCAAGTATCAGACATATATAGGTTTTTAAAGTAAGAATTTAAACATTACTTGTGACCTACTTTAGTTTAACCTAATTAAATAATAATTATATATAATAATAATTAATAATAAAAGGTTAAACCTAATTATAAGGCATAATCTATATTAGTTTCTACTAATATAGATTATGCCTTATAATTAGGTTTCGTGCACAGACGTACGACTACAATTAGTTTTCCATCCGGGCGAGACTCATTGGCATAATTATGATTGAACTTCACATGGTAAGTTTTAATCTATAAATTAACTTTAATTTCGATTCATCTTTTTATCTTTTTTTTTGTTCTACACTAAGAAAGAATGTAATAAATTTTAACAAATATTTGTTTTGAATAATACTAATTTATAACATTTATCTGCGGTATAAATAAAAATGCTAAATAAAAAAGATGATAGTTAAGTCAAATTACATTTAGTAAATATCCAGCTACATAATACTATTCAAACAAATATTAAAATTTAACATATTTTTATCACAGTATAAGAATTAGAAAAAGCAAATTAAAGTCAATTTACATTGGCAGAAATAAAGATTAGATAATTTTTGATTGATCGTCATATGTTTCAGGCTAATTACGAAGAAATATATAACTGAAATATATAACTTAGGCCCTGTGCACAATAAACGGAATAAGGAATTAGGAATAAAGAACAAACGATTTCAACCTATCAGAAACTGTGTATTTCAATCGATTTTTATCCGAGATCTTGGATGAAGAAATAATTGGCCAATTGCAATGGTCATGTGATCAAATTGTTCAAATGTGATTTGTTAATTTTTTTCTCTGTCTGAGATCTCGGACCGGATTTTTAGCATCATGGACATCGGATTTTATGCACAAATCTTTTCAATTGCACTTTAAAACTTGTCTTCATATGCGAAATATTAACGTTTTAAAATAGTCCTGCAATCAGAGTATTCCGATCAAGTACATATAAATCAATAATGCGAGGGAATAACAATAGCGATAAAACTAACGCGATTTCAACCTATCAGAAACTATATATTCCGGTGCATCCGATTTTTGACAGGCTGAAATCGTGTTATTTCTATCGCTATTTAGACTTAAACTCTCCGTCTCTGTCTCTCTTTCGCTTTAAAACGAGACAGAGAGAGTTTTAAATCTTGCTTAAAATCAAAGTAACGTTGATACAACCAGGTTTTAAAACGCGTTTGATCTTGATGGAAAAGCAGAAAAGCAATGACCAATCAGAACTCGCGCTGGTAGTAAGTAATACAAAAAGCCGAAATTATTGAAGACTACCAGCTAGAGTTCTGATTGACTGTTGCTTTTTCGTTTTCTGCTTTTCAGGTTAAATATGAACGCGCCTTTACGTCGCGCTAAAAAAAGCTCGATTTACATAGCATGAAGAACGCGGATCGCAGAAGGTCGATTCTGTATTTTCAATCAAGGTGAAAATTACAAAAATGAGCAAATTTACTAGGCATTGACCAATTAAATTATCCATATTCTAGTAAATTCGCTCACTTTTGTAATTTTCACCTCGTTTCAAGATACAGAATTGATCCCCAGGTCGCAACAAACATACACCTGCGGCCCACGTTCTGTATGCCATGTAAATCGGGCTTAAGAGTGCGTGAGAAATTAAAACAAACGATTAAAAAAAGTGCTTATAAGCGTGAATGGCAGTGAATGCTCACTGCAGCGTGTGAACATGAGCGTTCAAAGCGAACGCACTCAATGCTCGGTCACCGTGACGGAACGTCGGTCGGAGACGCCGGAATATTGGCTGCAAGAGGACGCCGCGAGCGTCGAAAGGCTGATGTGCGCGGAACGTTTACAAGCGCCGCAGTATGCCATCGTACATCGCGCGGTGTGGTGACGTTCTTTTGCGCTGTCGCGAATGTAACGGGACGGGATTACGTGCTCGCGCGGTATCGCCTCCGTGATCTCTTGCCGCCACAACGGGGAATTATGTTGACTTGGAGAAATGGGTAATTTGGCGACGCTGCTAGTGAAGTTCGGTGCCGCGTTCCTCCTCGCCTGTCACGCGGATTACACCTTGGCTCAGGACAACGCATCGGGTAAGAGTTCGATTGTAAGAAGAGACTCCGCGTCCTCATGTCTCGTGCGACACAATACCGCGTCGCAGGCACACGTGGGATTGTGTGTACACTGAAAAAAAATATAGTCAATTTTAATAAATATTTAGTTGAATACTGCCAACTAAATATTTATTAAATATAAAGATATATTTGTTTGATACAAGGAATGTTCATTTGATTTAACAATCATTTTTTTTATTGAACAAATATTTACTTACTGTAAGTAAATGTTTAGTTGGCAGTATTGAACTAAATATTTATTAAAATTAACTTATATTTTTTTCTCAGTGTACATACACACACTTCGACGTTTTGTTTGTTAATTATCCACCCAGCAAACGAGAATAGATTGAAATGGATTCAGAAATACGGATTCATGAATGTTAAAATGAATCCTTTTCAATCCTGAATGCATTTTTATTCATTTATAAGTATTGTATAGAACATATCTCTATGCCTTTCAATATTAGCATTTTCTGCACATCGTGCACATCGTAAATACTATTCAATTCAGAATTGTGAACAGGAAGTACAGTTTTTTTAATTTTTAGTTAAATTCAAAAATAATATCAGCAATTTCTGTGCAATGTGAATACTGCTCATTACCATATTCTCAATATGAAATAATTTTTCAATCTAATTTTTCGTTTTAATTCAACTAAATTCAAAAAAGTTGTAACGTAAAAATAATTGAGCTATGTTCTTTTGTTTCTCTTTGATTCAAAGTAAAATGAATGATTGATGTGAACACTCGCTAAGTCGAACACAGTCCGAATATTAGGTTAATCACGGCATACGATATCAGCCAAGCGAGATTTGATTATCCGACATTTACCCATAGTAATGTAAATTGTTTATACTTTATTATATCTGTTAAATGATGATATTTTTATTATATCTAATTTTATTACTAATTTAGCTGGTTGTAATTGAAATAAAGAATGAATAACACATTCATCAATTAAAGAAATGGTGTAGCGTATAATATAGAAGATTCATAATCCAAAGATCCCAAGTTCGAATCCCACTTTAGTGCCCACTTTGTTATACCAATAACAGTAGTTAATTTCAGATATAATTATTATAAATGTCTTAGGGATAAAATTTGTAATCCTTAAATATGAATGTTTTTTTATTTTAAATATTAAAGTAGTATCGAATCCAATCCATTCAATCCATTTTCATGGATTTAAAGTACGCGTTAAAAACATTTAAATCCATTTAAATCCATTCTTGTTTGCTGAATCTAATAGATCATGTATAAATATATATAGAATTACAATCGATAGGAACATCACAATTTAAATTGTGAAATAGAAGTTTATGCGTTACTAATAACTTGCCGGTACAAATTTGGCGGTCGCAGCACAAAAAGAAGGCAAGGAAGCGGAGGAATGAATCGAATGATGTAATAAAGGGAGTATTTTTTTAAATACTCCATGCACGTGTGCAGACATAAACTCATAAAAAATCATTATTAATTCTTTGAAATTAATAATTTTGTCCTATATTTTCGACTTACTTTCTCATGTAAAATATACATATATCTGTACCTCTCGATTACACCATCAATAATAAATCGTCTTACATACATCATGCAAGATATTACATTTTCATTGTTCGTAAACGATTACAAAGCGATTACGTAGAGATGCATGCGCATACTCGGCGAAAAACGCGTTTACATATTTATACACGCGCGTCGATGTATAACAATACTGTGCGTGTAAAGAAGAATGTCGTCGATCTTCAGTGTGCGCGATTTGAAAACTGCCCATTTCAAATGTTATAACGACTTTTCAACTGTGTAAAATGTTCGTTTCTATCTTGTCCTATTTAAATACGCCGGAATATGTGTTTTATTTGCAAGCTTACCTACCGAGAGTCAATGGGTTGTCCGGAAAGTTTGTGCTGACTAACCTATATAATTTAATAAATGTATATTAAAATTTAAATTTTCTGCGTTTCAATTTTCTTTCAACATCGGCACACCGATGTGAACCTGGCGCTCAACTTTATCAAAAATAAAAATTAATACTGCAGGCCGTTTGTACTTCGTTTGTACTTGTTTGTACCGATCATTATTTCGTTTGTACCTTAAACAGTTAAACAAAAAGTGAAAAATAAAAAATGGCCAGCGCGCAACTTTAAAATTTTTTAATTCATTTATGCTATTCGAAAGAGAATCATTTGTACCCGTTTGTACCTCTCTTATTTTCGTTTGTACCTCAAAGGATTCGGAGATACAGCGCGTTTCAGTTTTTGCGCAACTCCTACATATCAAATTTAGCGAATTTTAAAGATATCGAAATGGGACCAACGGCATTCGAAAGAGAATCATTTGTACCCGTTTGTACCTCTATTACTTTCGTTTGTACCTCAAAGGGTTCGGAAATACAGCGCGTTTCAGTTTTTGCGCAACTCCTATATAGTATCTCCGAACCCTTTGAAGTACAAACGAAAGTAATAGAGGTACAAACGATTCTCTTTCGAATGCCATTGGTCCCATTTCGTTATCTTTAAAAATGACCGACTTACTCTCTTGACGCATTTATGAAATTTTGAAATCGCTGTATCTTCGAATCCTTTGAGGTACAAACGAAAATAATAGAGATACAAACGGGTACAAATGATTCTCTTTCGAATGCCGTTGGTCCCATTTCGATATCTTTAAAATTCGCTAAATTTGCTATGTAGGGGTTGCGCAAAAACTGAAACGCGCTGTATCTCCGAATCTTTTGAGGTACAAACGAAAATAAGAGAGGTACAAACGATTCTCTTTCGAATGGCATAAATGAAATTAAAAAATTTTAAAGTTACGCGCTGGCCATTTTTTATTTTTCACTTTTTGTTTAACTGTTTGAGATACAAACGAAATAATGATCGGTACAAACAAGTACAAACGAAGTACAAACGGCCTGCAGAATTAATTTTGATAAAGTTGAGCGCCAGGTTTACATCGGTCATCGGCACTTTCCGGACAACTCAATAGATATAAAACGAAGGATCAGTTAAGTATTTATATTCATTAAACATTATTAATGATTTTTTTCCATATTCGTATGTGCGTTTAGTATACTTTTTCAAATTTTGCTTGAATGCTCAGTAAGTTTTCTTGAAAATTTCTGTGATATACGATAAGATACGCTATTTCGGAGCAAGACGTCTGGAACGTATCTAAAGGGTTCATTAAAGTTGCAAACGGATTAAATTACTAAGTATGCTTTATTAGCGAACTTTGATACTATAATTTTAAGTTTACTATATATATATATATA